GCAGAGTGATTGCAGTGACCTTTGAGTCAGAAAGACAACGGGGGTGGGGGCTGGTGCCGTCTCGCAGAGTTGGTGTTTCGTTTTGGCCAGAGCCGTGCGGCGGAAGCGAAAACCTGCGCCATGTGATGCGTGAAATAGGTTGTGAGATCAGCGGGAACAGATGCGCCGAGAAGGGAGAAAACCAGGCCAGTAAGGGTTGTGAGATCAGCGGGAACAGATGCGACGCCGAGAAGGGAGAAAACCAGGCCAGTAAAAAGCGTCGTAAACGTACGAGGAATGCAGTGAACATGTCCAAGATCACATCACTGCAGTGTGGAACATTAATGCAACAGCACAGTAGCCAAGCGTAATAGGCGTTTGCCCCAATATCTGCGCATGAAGGAGAAGAAGGTGCTATAACACTGACGTGGGGGATAGTTACCTCTGTGGCAGAAGTTTGCGTGAGCTCATAATTGGAGGTAGCATGATGGGGAGAAGGATAGGATTCAGGTGGGGCAACCCAGCTACCCTTTTATGGCAGCAAGGTGGCTCAGAAGCCGTTAGTGTTCCAGCCCCCCCAGGAATGAAGGGCACCAAGGATGCTGGGGTCTAGCTTTCAAAGCTGAAGGCACCAAAATGTGGATCAGGTTCTTGCAATTTCTTTAGTTAAAAAAGTATTTTTGTTGTACTTTTCTCCTTAAAAGGACGTGAGAAGGCTTACCCCAATCAAAGACAATCTTTAAAGGTAAAGACAGCAGGTCAACAAATATTTAAAAGAATCAAACAAAAACAACACCAACACACATTCAAGGCAGTAAGGCACAAAAACGCCACTCGGCCAGCCAGTCTTTAAGGGAAAGCTGGCCTAAAGAGAAAGGTCTTGGCCTGCTTGCAGAAGGACAGCCAAAATGGCGCCAGACTGGCCTCCAGTGGGAGGGAGTTCCAGAGTCTCTGGGAGCAGCCACAGAGAAGGCCCTCCTGTCCTGTGTGCCCCACCAAAGGCACCTGTGAAGGTGGCGGGACTGAGAGAAAGACTTCCATGGATGATCCTAACACCCGAGCAGGCTCATCATGGGAGAGGTGGTCCTCAAGATAGCTTGGACCCGAGCCCATTTAAGGCTTTATCGTTTAGAGCCCAGCAGTTCGAATTGTGCCTGAAAATGGATCGGCAGCCCGTGAAACGGCTGTAAGAGAGGGGTTATGTGATCCGTGTAGGCAGCCTCATTCAGCAATTGGGCTGCTGTGTTTTGGACCCACTGAAGTTTCCAAACCCTTTCCAGAGGCAGCCCCACATGGAGTGCCTTACAGTAATCCAGATAGGATGTTACTGAGGCCTGTGTCACCATGGGCCAGATGTTCCCTCTCCAGGAACAGGCCAAGATAGATATCATTTCAGTGTGTCTAGGGGCTAACTTTCTGCCCCACCCCACCCCCCACTCCATTGGAGCGGCATAGACCACCAAACAGCAACATCTGGAATGAAAAGCAGGAACCAGAAGTGGTCAGAAGTCAACATCTCCTCCTTTTCGGTTGTCATGGAGGCTGAGTTTGGACCTCATTTATTGGGCACTGCAGCCAATGGAGGCAGCCAAGGTCCCACAGGTGAGCCGGCATTTGAGTTGTTACAGAATATATTAACTGTTCTTGAAATCCAAAAGGAAGATCCCGATAGAACCCATAGATAGCAAAAACCATGCCTCCAGAAGATGAATGTCGTCCCTTGAATGTTGACAATGAAAATATCAAAGACGCTGGCGATTTTCTGTACTTTGGCATCATCGTCCATTCCGAAGGCAGACCTGCAGCCGAGAAATGGAAAGAAGAGCAAAGAAAGGATTCTTGAAGAAATGAGAAAAGAGCCTCAAGTGGAAGCATGGGTCCCTAGAAATCAAGCCCCAGGTACACCTCCTCATGGCATTTCCAGTTACTGTGTAAGAATGTAGAAGCTGGACAGGGGAAAAAGGTGAGGGGTAAAGAAATGGACTCGTTCGAAAACAAGTATCAGAGAATTGTTTTACCATGGTCGGTTTGTGTGCTGGAGATCAAATCAACCCTGAACGGTCAGTGAAAATTACAGTGACTAAACTGAGTCTGTCCTACTTTCGGGCTCATCCTGAGAAGGCAAGAGGCAGTGGAGAAGACAGTCATGCTTGGAAAAGTTGAAGAAAACAGGAAAACTGAAGAGTGGAAAGAGTGACGGACGAGGACTCGGGAGGGTTCGAATCCCTGCTGAGCCAGGGAAGCTGCCTGGGGGAGTGGAAGGGATAAAACCACCCTTCAAATATCCCACTTACCTTGAAAGTCCTGTTAGGGTCAGTGTAAGTCGGCTCTGACTTGACTGCACACAACACACACACACACTTCACAGGCCAATGGCAACCTTTCCCAGGATTTCCTAGGAGGAGAGTACTCAGGGTGGTTCACCCTTCCGTTTTCTGAAGGCATGGTGAGATTACGTTGCAGCTGGCCCAGGGCTACCCAGGTTGGCTCTTTTCCCGGGAGGGCACCGTGGAGAAGGGAGCTCCCAGCCTCTGATTCTGCAGCTGGCTCCCTCAACCCAGTGAGCCAGCTCACAAAGTCAAAGGATCACCCTAAGTCGAAAGCCAGCTTGACCTCATAAAACAACCACCCCAGTTGAACTCTCCAGGTTGAACAAGCTGTTAGATCTCATTTATTATTAAAATTTGGGTCTTCTGTATCCTGCCTTCCTCCTAACGCTGGGACACGAGGCAGCTTACAGAACGATTAAAACACAACGTAAGGAAACAATTGAAAACAAAAACAGATGCACAGACCAGAATCCAACTGAGTGTTTCGATGTACAATGATAGAAGTAACCACTGATTAACAAGTCCCTTATCAAATTTCTAGTTGCACCCCAGTTGCATGGATTTGCTGGTGCCTGGGAATTTGGAAGGGGGGGGAACCCTGCTAATTAACAGCTGTTCGCCATTTCAAGCGACACCTTCACATTGATGTAAAGGTTCAGTTGGATTCTGGCTGTACAGTAGTTTGGGGTACATTATTAAAATGCAAATAAGTAAGTAATTTTAAAAGGCTATTAACTCAAAACTATTTTAAACATTCAAAAACTTTTTTTTTAAAAAAAGGGTAACATCCCCAATTAAAAGCTCCTCTCTTGGCAGCCAAAACTCCGGAGAGAGAAGTGTTGCTTGTAGGTGAGAAGGAAAGCGGGGAGGGCCCCCCAACTCAGCCTCCTGTGGAGGGGAGTTCCACAGTCCGGAAGCAGCCCCCCAAAAGGCCTCGCTTCTGTTCTCTTGAGATGTAATTGAGAGAAAGGCTTCTTGTGAAGATCTTAAATCCCAGGGAGGCTCATAAGATCTTACTTATTTATCTCCATTTTATTTTCCCCAGAGTCTCTGCAACATGCCTGGGAAAACCTTTGTTCCCCACCCCGAGATACCACTCCTTTGCAGCCTGGTAGTTAGTTCTCCAAGGGGTGTGCATGTGGGGTTATTCATAAAGCACCCCTCTACCGTCCTCTTGCAATTAGGACTCCCGCCTCCGTTGGTTCCCTCTCCTTTCCTGCAGCGAGAACAGGGGTGACTTTAAAGACCCTTGTTCTGAGCGGTGTGTGGAGACGGCTACCCTCACCCCTTAATCTCTCCCTGCGATCACTGTTCGTGGGCTTTACCCTGATTGCCAGCGACAACGGGCAAAGCCTCTAATGGGTTTACCGGCTACCGAGCTGTCCCTTCCTTGCTCAGGGCCAGCAGGGAAGTGGAGACGGCTGGGCGCCGAACCTGCAGGTGAGTGCCTCGTGCTTCGGAGGAGCCCGCTTTGAGTCCAGCCCTCTTAAGGGGTTTACTCACGAGACGAGGATCCAAGCATCACTTACGGGTACTTGCATTCTTGGAGACTTGGCTCTGTGGATCCGGCAAACGAGTGACAGCTGGGGGGGCTGAATTCTGAGACTTTTACGGCTGTTTGCTTGTGCGGGGCAAAGGGTTAGAGTTGATTTCGGTCTGAGGGCATCGCAATCCAGAAGGAGAAGGATGTCTGTCCGGAGCATGACCTGAGGGCATGCCACATCCGTTCTGTAAAAGACTGGCTGCAGTTTTCTCTAATTTCAGATTATTGTGTTTGACTTTCAAGCCACAAGGGATGGAAGATTCTCTTTGGCTCCTGTATAGGAAAATGGACAGGTTTGTAACTGCTTTTGAGAGCCACGTGTTGGTTTGGAGAAGCGTCTTTGTGTCGTGCCAGAAAGATGGTGCTTGTCAGCACGCTGGTCCTGCCGGCCTGCAACGCGGGCCCAAGGAA